TTTTGGTGGTGAACATGATGTAGTCCATGCAGAAATAGAAGTACAATGATGTACACCTGAAATTTTTACAATGTTATAAACCAATGTTACCGCAATAAACAAAAAATTAAATAAATAAATAAATAAATAAAATGTAAGAGAAAGATTAGAATTATATGATGAGAATTGATAGGACTTCAGCATGTTCCTGTATTCTTAAATATCCGCTTTAAAGAAAAAAGGCTCGGTGCTGGTCTTTTGCCTTTTCTGCACGCGAGGGTGGCAGCAGTGTGTGGGACTTACTCATTTAAAACGCTGTATAAGCATCGCTCATGCAAAGACGTGTCCATGGGATGATGTATTGTAATCTCAAAAGGCAGTAGATGTCAAAAAGCTAATAATAGTCTACCTTTCATGTAGAAATAATTTGTTGTGTTATTTACAACACAAACTGAGACCTTTAGAAATGGAAACACACGCAGTTCCTTTGCATCTAAAGATTAAGGCCCTGTGTGCAATTAGAAATACAATGCGCTGGCAAGCAAGAGCTTCCATTTCAGGGGAGCGGGCACTCCTGGTGAGGAATGGTGGGTTGTGAGTTTTCACACGTGTGTGTACGTGCACATGTGTGCATGCATTGTGCATGCGTGCGTGTGCCTGTGTGACAGCTTCAAAGAAAATTCTAATGGGAAGTGCTTTGACCGATCTTACTTTTGTCAGACTTGTGGTTGTCACTTATGGTGGCCTTGGTAAGGCAGGTGTCTTGTGATGCTCATGGAAGTAACACATCCTTCTCTGTGCTCAGTTCCTTCCTGTGTACAGCCCGTCTGCGGAGGAGAAGAAGGACCCCGCCCTGTACGCCACCAACGTGCGGCGTGTCATGGCCGAGTGAGTGAGCGCCCCTCTCCCATAACTGAGTCAGAGTGTGCGGGGAGCCCAATGCCCTGGACGCCCCTAAGTCTGGCTCAGCACTCTTGTTTGCCTCCTGTTTTCCTCTTTTGCTATTAAGAAGCCAATAGCGTTGGGAAAATTGGGTTTTGCAAAAGCAAATGAGCAAGCGTTGACTTGCGCGTTGGCGACGGTGTGCTTGGCCGTACACTTTACGCCCCTTGTTTTTGTCGGGTGGCATTTCTGCTTATTCACTATTGGGAAGATGATTCATCGTCGCTTCGTTCTACAAATTTCAAATATACCCAGAGCCGTCATTCCCTGGGTGCCACGTCCGCGTGGGCCCGATGGAGGCAGGCGTCGGAGCTGTCGGCAGAGTGCCGCCCGGGCAGGCTGGGGGATCGGGTTGGCATGTCCCCGAGCTTGACTTCTCCTCTCCCCACACAGTGTTTATTAATGTTCTTGCTCCGTCTTACTGAGTTCAGTGTGGTGTTTGCACACTTCCTCATGTGCGATAACTCCTGCTCCTTACTCAGCAAGTGTGCTCTCGGGATAGTCTCACTTCCCACTTCCACGTGATTCCCAGTTGTCTCCGAGAGTGGTCGCGTCAGCTCCACTGCCACCCCTCTGATGGCCTTCCTCCCTCTGTGTCCCATCCTCTCCGCCCTCCTCCTCTCTCCTTCCGGGCAGCAGGGGCTGCCTCTGAGCTCGGCCCTCGCGGTGCCAGGAGGGTCTCAGTGCTCAGCAGCTCTGACAGTGAGCGTCACCCATGGGGGGTCTGCTTAGCTGCGGAGGGGTCTTGATGGGGGCTGTTGCTAACCTTGTGTGACTGAGGGTCCTCAAATGAGCTCTATCTCCTCACTGTACACACATCGTGACCCCACTGCAGTGCGTCTGTGAGACCATGTTGAGCAGAATCACGCATTCATCTCAACACGCGTGAGCTAGAACTCATCACGGCATTCAGGCTGTCTGCACGTGCCTCAGAAGAGCAGAGTCCAGCAGACACGCCCCTCTCTTCTCTTGGGCACCCCCTCTGGAATTCTGCCTCCCTCCTTCTCTGAATCACACCCCAGGACACACATGGAGCAGCCAGTGGTCAGGGTGTCTTGACCATCTCGGCCTTTGGGAAGTCAGGGTGCTCAATGGCACCTTTGTTCAGACTCTTGATAAAGAAATAGTGTCCATGGAATTGCAGGCTTGACAGCTTAGGTGCAGTTTTTTTTAGTACACATTCAAATAAATTAACTATTAAAATTTTTTCAGGAGCCAGCCCTGATGGCCTGGTGGTTAAGTTCAGCACACTCCACTTTGGCGGCCTGGGTTCGGCTCCCGGGCACCAAACCACACCACCCGTCTGTCAGTGGCCGTGCTGTGGCAGCAGCTCTCGTAGAAGAACCAGAACTTAACAACTACACACAACTAGGTACTGGGGCTTTGGGAAGTGGCGGGGTGGGGGGAGAAGAAGAAAAAAGGAGGAAGACTGGCAACAGATGTTAGCTTAGGGCGAAGCTTTCCCTGCAAAAAAAATATATTTAAATACGTATCCTAAAGAAACTTATATGATGTCAAATACTATCTATATTAACGGAGGAGGAGCGTCATACATTCAATGGAAAAGGGCAGATAATCCATTGGGCGCCTCCATGCCTCAGCGGCTGCAGTAGAATTTCAGAAACGTGGAGGTGGGTTGTCACCTCCCTGGTCCTTAGTCCCCCTGAGTGTGCACCTCGGAGGGGCCAGGATCCCAGCGAGCTTTGCAGGGATCCTGTAAAGCTGGCCTTGTCCCACCTTACAATTCTGGCTTCTTTCCGCAAATGATTACACCCAAGTTTGCCACAGGGAATTCTTTTTTTGTTGTTGTTAATGCAGTGAATAACTGTTGTTTTTTTTTTTTTTTTTTTGAGAAAGATTGGCCCTGTGCTAACATCTGTTGCCAATCTTCCTCTTTTTTTTTCCTTCTTTCTCCCCAAAGCCCCAGTGCATAGTTGTGTATCATAGTTGTAGAGTTGTAGCTCTGCTATGTGGGACGCTGCCTCAGCATGGCTTGATGATCGGTGAGTAGGTCTGCACCAGGATCCAAATCGGTGGATCCTGGGCCACCAAAGCAGAATGTGTGAACTTAACCACTATGCCACCAGGCCAGCCCTAGCCAAGGGGAATTCTAACAGCCATGGAAAAAAGACTTCTGAAAGTCCCTATTTCCTTATGACGTGATTGCACAGAGCATTGTCATGGCAACAGGGAACTGCTGTCGAAATGATTGAAAGCCTACTCAGTTTTGGGGGGGTGGTTTTCTGTACTTGGTAAATTCCCTACCATGAATGTGTGTTCTGTAATAGTCAGGAAGAGGTTATTTTTCATGGAACCTGACGCAGCTCTGTGGAAGAGTGCCTGGGTGAGGGCTGTGGCTTAGGTGCTATGTCTCCCCCACTTTCCTCCAGCTCCCCTGGCCAGTCTGTCCTGTCCTGCAGGCCCCACAGACGCCCCTTCCTGGGGAGGGACAGACAGAGGCCCCACTCTGGCAGGGTGGGCAGGGGCAGCCACTTCCTCTCAGGGAGGGGTGGCTTCTCCTGTTTGTCAGTCACAGATGGGAACAGCTCAGGGGACAAGCCTGCCCTCGTCCAGTTAAGAGAGAGGAGGGGCTGCGAGCCTTTGGACCAGCGGGGGTTAGGAGGTGGGTTTACGCCGTGTCTTGGGCGTGTTCCTCCCGTCCAGCCTTTAGCTACAGGCCCATGTGCTGCGTGTGCACTTCTTCCCTCACCCAGCACGTTCTCTCGGAATTGCTAGAAACCCTTTGCCCTGCCAACAGGAGGCAGAAGGGACGAGCGACTCAACGGCTGAGTCAGGAGTCCTGAGAACGGGAGTTTAGAAGGATTTGCCTGCTCCTCAGGCGTCTTCACGTTTGTGGGTGTTTTAGTCTGGTTTTTAAATTACGTGTTGGCTTCATTCTGCTGCTGTTGGCGTGTTCACCTTCCTGGAGTTCCTTCTCCAGCCGAGCGCCGGTGGATGCACCAGCTCTTCTCGTGCAGAGCTGCCCGTTTCTCCAGCTGCCCCCACATGTCAGCCAGGGGGTGACGCCTTTCCTCTGGAAACTTGTTCTTTCCATGATTTTCACTTCCGCTCTGGACACCACCTGTACTCAGATCAGTTTCTTCTTTTAATGTCTAACTGGAGTAAGTTTTATGGGGGCTACAAAACTAAAACACCGAAGCCACAGGTGGACCATGCCTTAGATCCCCCAGCGGGAGGAGTCGCCCTTTGAATGTGCACATCCTCCTGGACAGAGCAGGATGCAGGGCTTGTAGGAGGTGGATTTCTGCCGTTGCAGCTGGCTCAGGAGAGGCCACGAGGGAAGGGCCTGTGGGGGGACCTCTGTCATTTAACGGCCTTTGCCGACTCCTGCGGCCGCCACAAGCAGCCCTCTGTGGCCCCGGGGGGCCAGCTGACGGGTGCCCCCCTCCCTCTTGCGCAGGGCCCTGGGCGTTCCCGTAACCGACTACACGTACGAGGACTGCCAGCTGGCCCTGGCAGAAGGACAGCTTCGCCTCCCCGCGGACACCTGCCTTCTGGAGTTTGCCAGGCTGGTGAGGGGCCTGGGGTGAGTTTGCTGGTTTTTCTTACTCACGAGCGGTTGGTCAGACACGGAGCTCCCTCTGCCACTGTGACGGGCGTCAGGCTGTGGGCTTAGGTGACAAAGGTGACAGCAAAGTGTGATTTGTATCGGCAGTGCGGGGCGTCCTGGGAAGCGCTGCCAAGATGCTTCTTACAGACGGAGACGCCTCAGGCCCCCATGAGGTCTGCACCCGGCACCTGTTGACAAGCGAGCTGGGGGTGGAGCGGGCGCCCAGGGCCGCCTGGAGAGAGTTCCTAGTGCTTGTCCTCAGGGTTTTGTGGTTTTTTTCAAATACCAACTTCAATCCACTTAGAAGTAACTTAAGACCCTTAATGCTTGGCACCAGCTGTCGCTTTATGGGGACCGTCACAGCTTACAGACTGACCTCCTGGAGGGGTGGGGGGAGCCCGTGTGAGGGGGTGTAAATGCTTGTGTAGACACTGAGGCAAACACATTGCATGCCTTCAAAGTATTAGAACACCTCTTCCTGAAAATGAACTTGCCAGTTGTTCAATAAGTAATTTTAATATTTTGTTGGGTGTTAAAACATAACGGTCAGTCTCCTGTTGTTAGCATCCTGTAATTTATTGAAAAATCATTCTCTCTTTTTTTGTTTAGCCTAAAACCAGAAAAACTTGAAAAAGATCTGGATAAATATGCAGAAAGCGCGAAGATGAAGAGGGGAGAGAAGATCGGTCTCACGGAGTTTGCAGCCTTCCTGGAGGTCCCCATTTCAGACACGCTGGAGGACATGTTTTCCCTGTTTGACGAGGTAGGGCTGTCACCCCAGGAGAGGGCTTGGTGGCAAAACCTCCGACTTTTCAAAGGATAGGTTGTTTTTGTTAAAACATAAACATTCTTGGGGTAGGCCCGGTGACGTAGCGGTTAAGTTCACATGCTCCGCTTCGGTGGCCCGGGGTTCGCCGGTTTGGATTCCGGGCGCAGACCTACGCACTACTTGTCAAGCCATGCTGTGGCAGGCGTCCCCCATTTAAAGTAGAAGAAGATGGGCACGGATGTTAGCCCAGGGCCAATCTTCCTCAGCAAAATTACAAATGTTACCTCAGGGCTAATCTTCCTCACCAAAAAAAAAAAAAAAAAAGTAAACATTCTTTAGATCATTTTGGAAGTAAAGAAGGAAAACCACCCCTCATTGGCACATCCTACCCTCCCACCCTGTCATTTGGGGTATTTTCTCCCGCACTTTTAAATGCACATAGAAATTTGAAATTTAAATTAACCTTTGCTGATAAAAACACCTGGGGACTTTTAAAGCGAATCGCTAGAAGGTCTCATGATACCACACAGCTATGCCGGCCCAGGGCCCCTCCCTGGAGGCCTCCGCTGACCCAGCTCAGCAGGGTCTGCAGCATTTCTAGACTGGCCTGGAGGTTCTCCATCGGCCTCTGTCTGGTGCGTGGGGATTTCTCCTGGTATAGCCCCCGCTCCCCTCTCACCCTCCACGCATCGTCAAGTCACATGTCTGGCTGAACCAGGAGTCAGCATTCACATCGCCACGGCCCTGGAGACGTGGAGTGGCCTTACTGGGTTCGGGGAGGGCAGGAGGCAGAGCATGGGGCGGGGCAGGTGCCACGGTTAGCCAGAAACCTGCCATGCTGCCACTCCTGGGTGTTTGTATTGCAGTATGGATACCTGTGCTGGGTCCTGTAGGAGTTGGTCATGCGGCAGGGTGTGTGTTGCGGGCATCTTTCAGCTGTGAACATGAATGTTCCATGTGCACAACATCATGTGTTTTGTGTGACAACACTGAGTGTTCCGTGTGACAACATGGCATGTTCCGTGTGACAACACTGTGTTCCGTGTGACAACATGGCGTGCTCTGTGTGACAACATGGCATGTTCCCTGTGACAACACTGTTCCGTGTGACAACATGGCGTGCTCTGTGTGACAACGTGGCATGTTCCGTGTGACAACACTGAGTGTTCCATGTGACAACATGGCATGCTGTGCATGGCAGTGAGGAGTGAGCAGCGTGTCTGGGCTGTGGTAGACCAGGGAGGATCGAGTGAGTGACGTGGGCACGTGGAGACCCTCTGTGAGCTTGCAGACCATGCAGATCACCTGACCCTCTCCTGCTGATGAAGCCTCGCAGCACAGAATTCGGTGTGTTCTCCCTCTTCTGACCAGAGGGCTGATCCAGAAGCAGCCCTCTCCCATGTAAAGATGAACGTAAAGGCGGCTGTTACGTGCGTCGAGGGTGCGAGTTTCTGTTGTTGTCGGAGCCACAGCTGGGGCTGCATTCTCACTAGGGCGCTTTGACACCTGGAGCGGGTTGAAACGAGAAACAGTGACGTGTTTTGGCCTGGGACGTGTCCTGGTGATGCATTGTTGGCAACCATCACTGAGCTCCAGGCATCTCACCTCGGTATGAGGGTGCATTTTCATGTTCCACTATTTCGAGGATGCAGGGGTCTCATGAGGGAGGAACCCTCTCCGCTTCACAGAGGATCTCAGACCAGAGGCGAGACCATCCCAGAGCCTGAACGGGCAGGCTGGGGGCCACATGTGAACTCGCCCTGCCTGGCACCCGAGCTCCTTCCCGAGACCATCAACTGACCCTCAGCTCGACAGTGGAGTCTGGGGCCATGGTGGGGAAGGCTGACATTTCCCCTCAGAAGACGCCAGGCGCCCGTGTGCCTCGTCCACCCCAACCCATAACCTACAGGCTATGGTAGACACAGAGGTGGACGATGGCACCAGAAGTCTTCTCTGTGACCAGGAGTCCTCCCTCTGCCCCGAGTCCTCCTCTCCCTCCTCCTCGTTGACCAGGAGTCCTCCCTCTGCCCCAGGTCCTCCTCTCCCCCTCCTCTCTGACCAGGAGTCCTCCCTCTGCCCCAGGTCCTCCTCTCCTCCTCCTCTCTGACCAGAACTCCTCCCTCTGCCCCCGGTCCTCCTTCCCTCCTCCTCTCTGACTAGGCCTCCTCCCTCTGGCCCCAGTCCTCCCCCTCCTCATCCACCCTGTGGCTCATCCCTCTCACTGTGGCCGCCCGCTCACTCACAGCAGCCTCCCGTCCGCGTGAGCTCTTGCACCGCTGAGGGTGTTTCACACAGATTCTGCGTCCGCAGCTGGCCTGGTGCCGGGTGTTCAGCACCACACACAGCCCGGGACTCGCCTTTATTCTGTGTGCTGCCTGTTTTGCCACAAGCAGACTAGGTTCCCAGGCCCAGACACCAGCATCGCTGTTTGCTGTCTGTCTGTCTTTAGCGAAGCCTTGGCAGGTGACAGCTGTACCTTGCCAGTACCTTCTCGAGCAGCTTCCTGTGGCAGGTCATCGACTTGGAAATTAATTGTAATGGCCTCCACAAGCGTATGGGGTGCAGTTACATTGGAGAAACCCGCTGGTTGTAAATGTTCTTCCAAGATATTTTCCTGTAGACAAATGCTGTCAAGTCAGTGTGGAGCTCACCTTGCCATTCGCAGCAGATGAGACCCTGGCTCTCCCACACGTGGGGGTGGCTGGGCTGTCGCCTGAGAGCGTCTCTCTCTCACAGAGCGGAGCTGGCGAAATGGACCTGCGGGAGTACGTGGTCGCCTTGTCTGTTGTCTGCCGGCCGTCCCAGACCCTGGACACCATCCAGCTGGCCTTCAAGGCAAGTGGGGAGTTGACGTGGGTTGACTTGTAGAGACAGTGGGACAGCTCACATCAGAGCTGTGACCCGTTTCTGTCTCCCTTGTTATGTTGGCAAACTTCCTATTTGCCTTACTGCTACTTTCACATAAGTTTGTACTAGCCATTGTTTATAAAGATGCCCCCATGCCCCCCCGAGTCGATTTCCTCCTGAGGGGCGTGGAGTGGGGTCCTCCTGAGTCCCGGGGCACCTGAGTAAGACTGGTAGCCCCACGCCCCCTTGACTCTCCCAGCACAGCCTCCGAATCAGCCTCTTGACCAGGGAAGGCAGGGCTTAGAGAGCTAAGGAGCTGCCTGGCCCAGCGTTGTGCAGAGCCAGGCTGTTCACCACTGTGCAGGGAGTCTGGGGAAGGCTGTGGTGGGGTCCTGGCCCCCTGCAGATTTACCTGGCTGCACTCGGGGCTGGCCTCACCAGGACACTGTCACCGGGGATGGAGCTGGACAGGCTTTGCCCACCTGGAGACATGATTTTGTCAGGGTCTTAGAGTGGGTGTGTCTCACAGGTGCAGCTCACATTAGCCAGACCCCTGAGAGCCTGATGTCCACATGAGGAGGCCTCTGGTCTGGCTGCTCAGAGAGCCCCTTCCTCTCACTTCCAACCCCAGCAGACCATCCCCACAGCGACTCTGGAGACTCCCCTGGGCGGGCGGCCGGGTTCCTTGTCTGGGTGTCCTGCTAGTAGCCGTGTTGTAGGGCGGGCGAGATGTCTGTTCCAGACGGACACCTCGGCATCAGAGACTAAAGTCTGGTACTTACCGTACAGTGTGTCTACCACGCTCGCCAGCACTCCCTAGGGATCAGTTGGCACTCTGAGCAGTGGGATCAGGGCCTGCTGGGGAGCCGGATCGCCTGAGGAGAAGTGGGCCGCCCTGGACAGTGGTGCTGGCGGGGGCGAGGACAGAGGGGTGGCTGCAGGGTGACGCTGACCTCTGGCTTGCAGATGTACGGGTCACCGGAGGATGGCAGCGTAGACGAGGACACCCTGTCCAGCATCCTCAAGACCGCCTTAGGGGTGGCGGAACTGGCCGTGACCGACCTTTTCCGGGCCATTGACCAGGAGGAGAAGGAGAAGATCACGTTTGGTGAGTGGGCCCGGGAGCAGGGGAGGGTGGCCCAATTGTGCAGGAGCGTGTCCCCAGGAGATGGGCGGCGGTCCCAAATGGAGTCCCTGCCCACCTGTGCTCACCAGGCCGCCCTGTCCTCTCGTGCAACATGGAAGTTCTCAGGAGGAAGGTTCTTCCCGAAACCTGGCCGGGGCAGGTGGGAGCTTCCGACTCTCATTTCTGCAGGCAATTCCTAGAAGCAAATTCCAAGCCTGCTGTAGAGCTCAGAGCCCCACAATAGACGCCGTCCCCCGGGGCTGCAGGCAGCCCATGTCGAGGCCAGGCTGGGACAGGTGGCCCACGGGGGTCCACAGTCAGGGTCCCCATGGAGGAGAGAATCCGCGTCCCCCCATCAGGAGTGACCTCTGCAGGTGTCTCCTCTCCCGGGAGGTTTTGGCTTTGTCACCTGTAGCCACACAAAGTGGAGGGCTGAGATCCTCAGGGACTGCAGGTGGAGGAGGGGCTGGGGCGGCAGGACCCGGGAAGGCAGTCCCCTCAGTCTGCTGGCAGGCGTGCATATTTCAAAATCAATGCATATTCTTGCTAAAAAAGAGTCGATGTTTGCTCAGGAAAGGTGGCTGTTCATGCCTTCTTTGGCCGTGTTTTTAAAATTGTGCCCAAATGTCAGACACGAGCGTGTGTGTGTGTGTGCATGCATGTGTGTGTGTCTGTGTTAGAAGTCGGCAGTGCCCCCGTGCCTTTGGGTTTCGTGGTTGACGTTTGCAGTGAGCTGACCCACTGCAGACCTTTTCCAGTAAAAGCTGCTCCTGGTTTCTCACACGGGAACATCTGTGTTTTCCTGCAGCCACCTGGAGTCTGCCGTCTCCTGCACCCGGGCCCTGAGTGTCACCAAGCCCTGGGGGCCCTGAGCACTCGCCACCCCGACACAGGGCCCAAGGCCACTCAGGTCCCATGACCAGCTTAGAGGGTGACCCCCACGCGTGCCTGGTCTCCCCAGAGCGTGGACGTGTCCACCGATAGTGCCTGCCTCGTGCAGTCCAGGTCACCGCCTGAACGCTTCATCCTGCCCCTAAAACAGCTCCTTTGATGGACAGTGCCTCCCTCACGCACTGAGTGCCCAGAGTAGACCGTTGAGTGCAAAATCCTGCGATTTCTTTAGATTTCCCCAAAGCAGGAATAGGTGAAGGACACAGTAGCCACCCCTTTGTTTTCACAAGACTCAGCGCACAGCAAAACTGAAGTGTGGGCGGGCGGCCTGCTCCCTGTCTGGTTGTCTTGCTCATCTCCCTGTCTGGTTCCTCCCCTCACCTCCAGAAGCGTCAACAGAGTCCAGCCCTCCCCGGGGGGTGAGGTGACACCCACACAGGCCTGGGGAAAAGAGCCCCCAGACTCCAGACATTGGCCCCCAGACGTCCCAGTAACCAAGGGTGCCTTTGTCTTTCCAGCCGACTTCAACAGGCTTGCGGAAATGCACCCCGACTTTGCAGAGGAGTATCTGTACCCCGACCAGACGTGTTCTGAGAGCCGTGCACAGCCTCCCCCGGCTCCAACCCCCAACGGCTTCTGTGTTGACTTCAGCCCTGAAAACTCAGATGTTGGGAAGAAGCCTGTTCGTAAGAAACTGGACTAGGATGGAAGGATCTGGAGAGACGAGGCCTCTCCCTCCCCAGCTCTGAGGCCATGCCGCCTCCACATGGCGCCAGCCCATCTGCTGTGACAGCCCCCGGGTTCCACTCCCCCACAGACATTTGCTGTCCTCAGGCCCGAGTTCTGGGAGACCCGGGGGTGGTTCTGACCCTGTTTCTTTGCAAAGAGCCCGGCGTGTGGCAGTGCCTAGCAGAGCGGTGGACGGGGAAACACGCGCTCACCCACCCTGGGCTCCTGCACGCCGCTCTCCCTTTGGGCAGCTCTCTCGGGCCGGGGGACAGGGGCTTGTTCTCCCTAGAGGCTCCTGATTTTCACTGTCCCTCTCAGTCCTTCCTAACCTCCTCATCGGTCACTCCTGGCAGCACGCACAGCCGCCAGCCCCTGCGCACACGTGAAGTCCTCTCAAAAGAGGACACGCGTCACGCGCCTGATTCCGGCACAAAGTCTCTGCCGGCCAGTGTGGCATCAGTGCCCAGGGCCAGCACCTGGTTTTTAAAGTTTCTATATTTGTGGGAGCTCATGCGCATTTTATAAACTTCATTTAGATACTTCAGGAAACATTCAACATTTTTTTAAAAAACAAAAGAAAATTGTTTTTATACTTCATTTTCCTTTGAGGGTCAGAGAATATCTTCTCACGGGCCCTTTTTTGGTAGAATCTGAGGCTGTGTGGGCCTCGACTTAACCTTCTCTCCAGCCTGTCCACCAGGTAGACACCTCCCCATCCGGGCGACCCTCTCCCTTCCCGGGTGCTCCTCAAGCCCCCACTTTATACCCGTTGCCAGCCTGGTGTTTCTGTTTCCACGTCACATGATCCACTTCTCTGTAGCATAGACCCAGCCAAAGCCTGAGTGTTGGGGAACGGGGCAGCAGGGGGTGCAGACGGGCATCCCGATTCTTGGTGGGCGGGTGTGGCTGCATCGCAGCGAGGATCCCTCAAGGCTCAGGACAGACACAGCAGGTCCCAGTGGAGGTGGACCGTCGTCCCCTTTGCATGGGTTCTGGGTAAGATCGGGGAAACAGCCGCCCGTGTGTCTGGCTGACCTGCCTTTCTGAAGACAGAGGAGCCACGTGGGAGGGAACGGTGTGGAGAGCACGGCAGCAGGCTGAGGGTGTCCGGCGACAGCCTTGTGCCATGGCGACAAGGGTGGCATCAGCTCCACAACAGGGAAGTCGTCTGTCCACGACCATGGGGTTCAGGTCCCCTCTCTGAGTCTGAGGTGCTCCAGGCACGGGGAAAGTGACACTGGTCACCTGGTTCATCTCCTCTCGGCATCACTAGACACCTGTCCTTAAAGCACAATAATTATTACCACAGACCCTGGCTTGTTCCCGAAAACCAAGCCTCTGGGTCTGTTTGGGAAAAAAATTCATTTTGAATTTCTAAGATGAATTGGATTTTATATTGGTGGCATCCCTATGGAAAGTGACCCCAGGGCTAGAAGTACAGGGAAAATGTGTGCTGACTCCTCGAGGTGTGCGTGATGTGCGTTTCTGCCCATAGATATTGGAAATGGAGGGACATTAACTTCTGTGGCGCTGACCCTCTGCCTTGTTCCAACCACACACTGCCAGCCAGGCCGCGGCGGGGATGGGCACTGCGGTCGACTCCAGGGCCCTGGCTCGCCAGACACAAAGGAATTCCAGTGCAGCCGTGGTAGCCAACAGTAATTGATTTTATAATTATAGATGCATAAATGGTCCTTTTTAAAAGAGAAAAACCTACAAATGACCAATGAAGGAGGTGAATAGACTAAGATATTCTGAGGGAAGGGGCTGGAATGGTGGCCTCCGTCCTTCATGTCTGTGGATGAAGAGTTTTTTGAATGAAATGCTGCTGTGCATTTTCAGGAAAAAAATCTCTGATAAACAGACTTTGAATGGATGTTTGTCCCTCCTCATTCCCTTTCCCTCTTGTAGCAATGTAGCGCCCATGGGCATTCAGAACTGTGAATGTACATAGTTTTGAGTTAAATCCCTTCCTGTGAGATGAGGACAAGAGGGGCAGGTGCAGCGCGGCCCCACCTGCAGGGTCCCGCTGGGCACGAGATCGAGGGCTGGGCGCGTGTGGGAGACCAGGGGTTCTCGATGGAATGAATAAAACGTAAACTTGAGGATGTATCTTATTGTGTGTGGTTTTTTAATTAGAAAAACAACAGACACATCCTAGGCTGTGACTGGACAGCTGATCAAGATGAGGTTCCCAGTGCTCTTCTGGCACGTTCGGAAAACACGATAATTGAAATTTTATAGAAAAAGCTTTCCTGACGCAAAGGGAAGGTCTGGACTGTTTTGATATCCTGTGGGTAGTGGCTAATATCCTACAGAACTCGGACCTGCATGGCTGCCTGCCTGCCTGGGAGTTGATTTCTGTAGTTTCTCTGATTTAAACGCACACGGCTTAAAGACGCTTGTTGTGCAGAGAAAATGGATCTTGGCTTCCGTCCTGTAATTAAATCAGTAAAGGAGTTATAAATAGAAGTAAAAGAAACAGAGCTGTTGTATTACAATTGCAAAACCTTACATGAAAAATCAAGGTAAGGTAGCCACGGCTCCAAGACTGGAGTAACACTGACGATACGTTCACAGCAATAAGCCCAAGAATCGGGCTGCAGTGAGTGTGTGAGGCCTGGCCCCACGCGGTCAGAGGGAAGAAGGATGCACAGCAAACCAATGCATGGTCATTCATGCAACAGGGGTTTTTATTTACTTCTCTGTGCTTTTAGGCATTTGCCCTTTTTAATGCAATAAATGGGCATTGCCTTAGAAATTGGTTAAATTTGGTTTTTTTAAAGAGGGTTTAAATCGGAGACACGCTCAGACTTCACACTGAGAGCTGCGCCCGCCGGAAGCTGCTGCTGCGACTCCGCTGACCAGTTCAGCAGGACGGAAGGAAGGGGCGAGCCGCCCGCCTCGGGCGCTGCCGCGGCTTCGCTGGGCGCTCAGCTCTCCTGCCCTCCGGAGTGAGGCCCGCTTTAAGGAGACGCGGGCCCTCGGGAAAAGCGAAGCCACTCGAGGGGCCCGGAGACTCCTGCAGAGGCGGGAGCAGAGGAAAGGCAGCTCTGCACCCCGCCGTCCCCGCCCCCCGCTGTCTCCGCCCCCATCCCTGGAGTCCGCTTCCCCACAGTCTCCGGCCCCGCCCACGAAGTCTCCGCCCCCGCCCCCGCTGTCTCCGCCCCCCGTCTCCGCCCCCGCCCCCAAAGTCTCCTCCCCCACCATCTCCGCCCCCTCGCCTCTCCGCTCCCCGCCCCCCGCAGTCTCCGCCCCCACCAGTCTCCGCCCCCCAGTCTCCGCCCCGCCCCCTTTGCTTATGCACCGGAAGCAGCTGCAGGAGAGCGACAGAGCAAGCCCCTGGCCAGAGGAGCGCAGCTCCAGATAGTGACCAGCACTGTCCGTCCCTTCAGCTACCCAGTGTCCATTCTCACCCTTCTTCCGCAATGTGAGCTACGTGCGTTGTGTGTTTCCTCCTAACGTGATAGAATAATCACTCCTCCAAACGCAGATGCTTTGACCTCCCAAAAAAGTAAAGCGCCGGTGAACCTTCATATCCCTCCCCGGATGACGCTGATTCTTTTTCTGATGCAGTCACACGCCCATCTGGATACTCTCTAACGTCAAATCTCAGTTACAGAGTCCACCAATGTTCCCTCTGTAAAACAACAGGTGCGCTGAAAAGTGGGGAGAACGAGTAAGCGGTTAACAAGCTAGTGTGCAGGCTCTTGTGCACGTTCACATGTGTGCACACATACACACACGTGCACACACACTTGCCAGGCCAGGAGGATGATTCGCATGGTCGCCACTATCCTGGTCTCTGGCTCCCTATGAGGTTGTGCTAATATTACAACCTCTGTCTTCCGCTCCCCGCTCCCTCAGCTCCAGCCGGCACTGTGGCAGGTCAGGGTTCTTTACCTCGTGAGAGGATTCAGATTCCCATCCCACGGTGTCTGGAGCCTTTATTACAGCGTGGGTCGTGAAGGTGTCCAGAGGATCCGCTGGGCTCCAGACACAGCACCAGCCCCTGCCCAGTCGGTCAGCAGGATCGGGAACGCTCTCCTTGCCCTGTGGGTTCAGGGGCAGGAGTTCCCCGAATAGCTGGTGACCTTCTGAACTTTCAGGGCAATGGATCAGTTGTGTCCCCAGCTAGGAGCGTTCTGTCCTTGGGAACTAAGACCTTTAAGGCAAAAGAGCCCGAGGTTGCAGAGGAGAGAAGCAGAAATACTTGAACGTCTTACCAGTCAGTGAGGCCAGATCCGTGAGCTGCTGAGATTCAGGGTCAGCAGGTAGACTTACTCATCACTCTCCTTTCCTAGGGCAGGTCACTGCAGGTCTGCCCAGCGTCATCATCACTGTGTCCCCATCTGAGAACACAGCCCCTCTCCTGGGAAGGACACAGGGAAGAGAGAGGTGACAAACCAGGCACAGATGTTGAATCCTCTACGCAGAAGTGGAACACATCAGTTCAGAGGGAATCTGCAGCCACAGCTGAATTCAATAGGCAAGGACGTATGTCCTGGAGCCAAGGCCCTGTAAGGAGGGACAAGGGATATTTTGAACAGTAACACAAGGCCCTACAGTAGCTCCTGGGTGTGAGAGAGAAGAGTCATCTCACCGCCACCCTGGAGTCACAGGCGTGTTCTGCTGTAACACAGCACCGCGCTGGCCCATAGATCAGTGCACATCCTCTGTGTGATGGAGGCACACCCATCGGGACCTTGCAGGGTGCCATCCCCTCGAGCGGCCTCACTGAAGCTGCAGAAGTCGTTCCCCCGTCTGTCGGGCCAGCTGCTTCTGGCTGGGGGCCTTGGTGAGAGCGGGTGTTCAAGTGTGCCCTGGTGCCCAGCTTCCTTTGTGGTAAAATAAGCCCCTTGGCAGTGGAACACGAGGTGGGCGATGGTGAGGAAGCCACTCATTAAGTCCACAGATGGTGCTGGCAGAAATACTGAGGACAGAGAAGACAAATCTCTCTCTGGAATAAGTGTATCAAGACGAGGACAGATATTTTCCCCCAATGATGAGGGGTCCAGTGTAACCAGCCTGAGCCCGGGGAGCGGAGCGA